GGAAGGAAGGAAGGAAGGAAGGAAGGAAGGAAGGAAGGAAGGAAGGAAGGAAGGAAGGAAGGAAGGAAGGAAGGGAGAGAAAACTATTTGCACACCTATCAGAATTAAGACCAGAAATGTGTACATATTATAGGCAAACCACTTCACACCATATTTAATGTCTTTTAAAATGCCAATACTTGGGGCTGGGAAGGTGGCTCAGTGGTAGAGTGCTTGCCTTGCATGCATGAGGTCATGGGTTCAATTCCTCAGCACCACATAAGCAGAAAAAGCCAGAAGTAGTGCTGTGGCTCAAGTGGTGCTGTGGCTCAAGTGGTAGAATACTAGGCTTGAGCTGAAGAGCTGAGGGACAGCGCCCAGGCCCAGAATTCAGGCCCCACAACCAACAAAAAATTAAATTAAAAATAAAATAAAATGCCAATACTTGGGCTGGGAATGTGGCTCAGTGGTAGAGTGCTTGCGTAGCATGCATGAAGCCCTGGGTTCAATTCCTTAGTACCACATAAACAGAAAAGGCCAGAAGTGGTGTGGTGGCTCAAGTGGAAGTGTCCTAGCCTTGAGCAAAAGAAACTCAGGGACAGTGCCCAACCCTGAGTTCAAGTCCCCAGACTGGGAATAAATAAATAAATACCAATATTTGTATTGCTTTTAAAAAAAAAAATCAGTCCTTTGCTTTTCTCGTTGGATTCAGAGTGCAGTCAATTTCACTGGGACAAGGACAAGGACCCATTGCTGAGAAAATGATCAAGGATGCCATGAAAGCAGGAAACTGGGTGTTTTTGCAGAACTGCCATCTTGCTGTTTCTTGGATGCTGGCAATGGAAGAGCTCATCAAAACCTTCACAGACCCAAGTACGTGAGCCCAGCTTAGTGTAGTTTTGCTTGTAATACTCAATCCGTATTGTAGTTCCCTACTATAGCTATTTACTACAGCCTGGAAATCACCTTACTCAGAGCTACCTTGCCAGGGGAGTTACCTCATTCACAGGGCAGCCAGCCTGCACTGCTCACCAACACCTTCCCCCAAATGGCCCCCAATCCTAGTCCACTCCCAGCCTTCACCCTTGCCAACCAGAATTTCTGTCTGCTCTGCCCACCCTTTTGCAGCAAAGAAAATATAATCTGTACTCAATGGAAATGAAACTTCTATGAAAAAACGGGGATCTCTAATGATAGAATTCTGATTAAGAAATCAGATCTCTAGGAAAAGCATCAAGCTTCGTGACCAGAAAAAAAACATTAGCCAGGGATCCAAGGATGAACACCAGCTGAACTTGTAGGTTTGAGGTTAGCAAACTGGAAGCAATATGAAATAAAATACATTTAGGTAGTAAACTGAAAAGGCAAAGGGAAAGAGGAAGGAAGGAAGGAAAGAGGGAAGGAAGGAAGGAAGGAAAAAAGGAAGGTAGGAAGGAAGGAAAAAAGGAAGGTAGGAAGGAAGGAAGGAAGGAAGGAGAGGGAGGGAGGGAAATAGTGAAATAAAAGACAAAGTCCTCTGGACTTGAAGAGCTAAGACTGAATAGAGCTTCACCCGTAACTTCTTGACTATGTGCCACATGTCTTTTCTTGTTTGTTTTTTTTGGGTCTGGTCGTGGGGCCTGAACTCTGGGCCTGGGCACTGTCCCTCAGCTCTT